TCCTACGCAGCCTCACCCCCGCTGCATGGTGCTTCTTCTGTGCATCCGACATGTCCGCCTTCTCCTCGCACAGCGACAGGCACTTCTCGTTCGAACATCGCACAGCCGTCGCCCCGTCGCCGGCCGCTGCGCCCGCGCCCCGACCGCTACCATGCCGCGCCGCATCTTCCCCCTCCGCTCTCGTCACCCACCCTCTGCATGTTGTGCACCATTTTTCGTTGGCGATTTTTCATCACATCCGTGCATTATTTGCATAACGATGGCCTTTCATTCCTCTGGAATTCGTACTTCGTGAACGCCTCTACAAGCAACCTCCGGCGGCAGCGCTCGCACTGGTTTCGTGGCATTAGTTCCGCGCCCCATCCCTCCCAATCCACGCCCACCCCTCGCAGCGCCTGCAACAGTTTCTTCGCGCCCGCCATCTCACCTGCGTTGCACGGCTTCCTATCAAAAGGCCTGAAGATCAGCAGGTTCTCTCGCCTGCGCACGCGCGCGATGGCAACGTAACTTGACATCCAACTCACGCCGCGCCCGCTTTCCAAATCCGCTATCACTGCCCCCATGGTCCGGCCCTGCGCTGAGTGCGCCATCGCTGCCAACGAAGGGGTTAAAATAAACTGCGTTCGCGTGACACTCAATACTGGATGCTTCCGATACCCGTCCAGGAACCATTGCCGCCCTTTCGATGGGAAGGTCGGATACAGCCCCGGCTCCCACCCTGGCAGGTGCCACTCCTTCGTATGGAAATCCAACACAATCACTCTCGGTAGATAATCATCGTCATCATCATCATCATCATCATCATCATCATCATCATCATCAGCATCATCATCATCATCATCACCATCACCATCACAATCACCATCATCATCATCATCATCATCAGCAGCATCCTCATCATCATCATCATCACTATCATCGGCATCATCACCATCATCAACAGCAGCAGCATCATCAGCACATGTTGCCTTCTACAACTCATCATCAGCATCAGCAGCATCAGCAGCCGCAGCGCCAGCGTCAGCATCAGCATGATGCGCATTACCACAATCAGCATCAACATCACCATCATCATCAGCATCGTCGCCAGTAGCCTCGGCATCATCAGCATCATCGTCAGCATCAGCAGCATCACCAGCAGCATCGTCAAGAGTACCAGCACCATCAGCATCGACATCATCATTATCATCATCGTCAGAATCATCGTCAGCATCATCAGTATCCGAATCAGCATCAGCATTATCATCATCATCAGCAGCATCAGCATCATCATTACCATTATCATCATCACCGCCGTTACCATCAGCATCATCACCACCATCGTCATCAGTATCATCAGCATCCTCATGGTCAACGGGATGCTAAGCATCACTCACAACAGCATAAACCTCCTTGTCATAAGCAGCAGCACAGTCGCCATCAGCACAATTACCAGCATAAGCAGCATCCTCATCATCACCAGTATCATCAGAATCATCATCAGCAGCATTATCATCAGCATGACCATCATCGTACTCCGCAGCAGCAACATCAGCATCAGCATCGCCATCACCATTACAGATCATCATCAGCAGCATCATCATCATAATCCGCCGACCCCTTGTGGGTCTCTAGGCGCGTGAGATTATCCCCCGCCATAATCCCCCCCAGGGACCCCAAACCGGCAATTCGACGCCCCCGTCCTCGCCCAGCCCGACCCCGGACCGAACGCGTCACGGGGGAGCGGAGGGCTCCAAAACTGGCCAAGAAGACACCAAAACGCTCCCTTGACGGTCCTAGGGGGCCACGATTCGCCGAAATATCGCCCTGGACGCCCACGATGGCCTCCAGGCGGCCTCCGAAGCTGCCAATACGCCCCAAAAGGCTCCATGATGCGCCCCAAAAGAGTCCCACGACACAAGCTTGCCCCATTCCCTTAGAAAAACAATCATGTTTCGCATGCTCGCCTATTCGGTTTTCACAACGTCCCAGACAGGCAGAGAAACATTCAATATCGCCCCCTGACGGCCAAAGGGGCCCCCAAGAATGGTCGAAGAGGGTCCAACAACAGCCCCCGTGACCCCCAAAACAACAGACGAAGGCCCCCAGACGGCTCCAAGACGGAGCCCACAGGGCACCTTTTTCGAGCCTTCGGCCCGAAGACGCCCCCAGCGCTCCAAAAACAACCCAAGAGGCCCTGAGGGACCCCCAAGAGAACCTCAAAGGCCTCCAAGAAGCCCCCAGGAAGCCCCCAAGAGGCCCCAAAACTTGGCCCAAGATGCCTCGAGGCGGCCGGATATGGCCTGCAGACAGGCCAAGATGCCACCTAAAGGCCGCAAAAGAGCACCAAGAGATACGAGAACAGCAACGAAGCAACAAGAACGATGCCGAGCGCCGTGTCACGATTCAAACAAGCCTCGTGAAATGCAGTCCTGGAGACGCAGTAGTTTACATAGGGGTCGGCGGATGTGGCGTATACCTATAGAATCGCTGTTCCCTAGTAATATACACCTCTTCCCCCAGGCGACTGGGAGCCAACCAGGGTCAATGCGGGCGCCCCCCCCACCATCCCTTGTAAACAACTATACAAAACACACTTTGCCTCCAAATTCGGAGCATGCGCAGCGAACCCGACGCGGCCTCCCCCGCCATCCCTGTCCCAAAAAAGGCAGGATATACTTGGCGGCGGCGGCGGCGGTTGCGGGGGCTGCGGCGGGGGCAGCGGCTACGGCGGCTGCGGCGGTGGCGGCTGCGGCGGTGGCGATTCGGCAGCGGCGGCGACGGCAGCGGCTGCGGCGGCGGCGGGCGGCGCGGCGGCGGCGGCAGCGGACGGCGGCGGCGGGCGGCGCGGCGGTGGCGGCGGCGGACAGCGGCGGCGGCGGCGAAGCGGCGAAGCGGCGGCGGAAGCGGCGGCGGAGGCGGCGGCGGAGGCGGCGGCGGCGGCGGCGGCGGATTCGCCCCCAGTAGCTGCCCATCCAAAGACGACTGTTGAATTTGCTTCGGCTCGGGCCAGGCTCGGGTGCTGCGTATGTGTCGGGAGGGCGGGTGGGAGTGAGCGAGACGGCTTGCGGGCGGGGATGGAGACTCCTGTCATCGCCCTTACCCTAACCCCAACCGTAATCCCAAACCCGAACCCGAGCCCAAAACTGCACTCACTACTCATTACGCACTACTCACTACTCACTACTCACTACTCGCTACTCACTACTCACTACTCACTATCCGCTACCCACTAGTCACTTCTCACTACTCACTACCCACGATCCACTACCCACTATTCACTACCCCCTATTCGCTACTCCCTGATAACTAAAACACCATTGAATACTCACTACTCACGACCCACTACTCAATACTCAGTAAGCACTAAACACAACGCACTACCCAATACTCAGTACCCAACGATGACACTTCACCACCCACCAACCACGATCCACTATTCACTACTCACTACTCACACTTCACTACTCACTGCTCACTGCCCACAACTCACTTCTCACTATCCACTCCTCGCTACTCGCTGATCCCTACTCCAAAAATAGTACTCACGACTTTCTACTCACTACTCGCTACTCCCTACACTTTACTCGCTACCCAATACGCACTATTCACTACCCACTACTCACTACTCACTATGCACTACTCATTACTCACTACTCCATACTGACAAATTAATCACAAGACACGACACACTACTCACTACTCACTACTCTCTGCTCGCTACACACTAGTCACTACTCACGACACACAACTCACGATTCACTACTTTCTACTCGCTACTCACTGCTCACTACCCACTACTAGCTACTCACTCCTCCCTTCTCAAAACTCAATACCCACTACTCCCTGTACTCCCTACTCACTACTCACTAGTCACAACTCGTTCATCCCTTCACGCTACGCACTACTCGCTAATCACTACTCACTACTGACTGTTCCCTCCTCACTACTCACTACTCCCAAAGCCCTACTCGCTACTCACTACTCACTACTCGCTACTCACTACTCGCTACTCACTATTCACTACCTACTACCCACTACCCACAACTCGTTACTCACCACTCACTACTCACTACTCACTACTACCTACCCTCTAGTCACTACGCACTACTTAGTGCTCACGACTGACTACTCACCACGCACGACTCCCTCCTCACTACTCACTCTGCAATACACACTACTCACTACTCACTACTCATTACTCACCACCCACTACTCAGTACCCACTACTCCCTACCCACTACTCCCTACTCCCGACTCAGTACTTACTACTCGCTACGTACTACTCACTACTCACTACTCACTACTCGCTACTCACCGCTCACTTAATCATTAGCCACCACTCATTATTCACTACAATGCAATTAAATACTCCGCACTCACTATTCACGACCCACTACTCCCCACGCCTTACTCCCGATGCCCAGCTCGCTACTCACTACCTACGACTCACTACTCACTGCATACTCACTACTCAGTATTCACTACTTACTACACACTACTCCCTACTCCGTACTCCCTACCCACCTTCTCCGGCGCAGAAAGGAGAAGCGGGACAAGCCCCCTTCCCCCCACCCGGGCCCCTTGTTCGACGCAACAGGGGGAGGGAGAGGGGGTCTGAACCCCCCCCCCTCCCCCCTTCCAGCGCCAAGTGGGGGAAGGGGGGGGGGTCCGGAACCCCTCCCCCCCTTCAAGGGGGCGGGGGGTTCGGAACCACCCCCCCTTAAGGGGGGAGGGGGGGGAGGGGGTCGAAAATCTCCCCTCCTTTAAAGGGGGGGAGGGGGGGGCGTTCTGCGAGCACACACGCCCTTTTCAATTACAGGGTGATCCAGTGGCGCGCTTTCGATGTTTTGACCGCTACAGGCCGCTTCACATCTGCATGCTTCTGCAAAGAAACCAAGTCACCTCGAGGTGAAAAATGGCCTGACTGATCATCCAATCTGGGTAATTACTGTCACACAAGAATGCAGCCGGAGAGGGCCGCATCGGCATGGCAAGAGCGAGCACCTTACAAGAGGGCCGAATTGAGTGCAAAAGGGCTTGAAACAGGGGGGAGGCCCACGGGACACAGACCCACAAAAGAACAATTAATCGGAGTCATCCTGACTCCGCTCTCGAACCGCAGGGAGGAGAGGCTGGGAGTCCTCATCTTCACAGAGGGCGGAGGCGACCTGGAGCAGCTGCTGGGCGGGCGGCAGCTGGACAAGCACGCTCTCCTCGGCTTCGCGAGGAGGTGGAGCCACGGGCTCCTCGGCATCATGCTTCGGATGCACGCCTTTAAAAATCTGAGACCCTGCATATTTGACGGGGGAGGGAAAGGAGGAGGAGGAGGAGGAGGAGGAGGAGCAGGAGGAGCAGGAGGAGGAGGAGGAGGAGGAGGAGAAGGGGAGGATGGGAGGAGGAGGGGGGGAGGAGGAGGAGGAGGAGGAGGAGGAGGAGGAGAAGAAGAAAAGAGAAAAAGGACAGGAGGAGGAGGAGGAGGAGGCGCACCGAAAGCGCACCAGCGTGCCTCGGGCCAGAGGCCTGGGCTGGCGGCGTGCGCAAGGGGAGGTGGTGGACGGGGGTAGGCCTCTGCAGGGGTGTCTGCAAAAGGCCTCCCCCCTCGCACTGCCCTCCTTTGCGCGTGGCCGACTGGGGTTAGGTTGGGCATGTCCTCCTACAGTCGGACTTGGGAAAAATGCTGGAAAGCATCAAAATATATAATCAGTTCTGCATGCGCGCTGCGTCCAGCGCGCCGACCTGGGCCAGCGCACCAACTTTCGCAGGGCGGAATTCAAGAAGGCCGTTCCCGCCACCGACGCCGTCGAGATCCGATCCTCCTTCCTCATCCTCACCCTGCTCTTCCACCCCCTCCCCAGCAGGGAGCGGGGACACGTGGGTATTGATCGTCCACCGCTGCCACAGCGGCGTGTTGTCTGCGCGCGCCGCAGCAGAGGCCTCTACTGGGGAGGCCCAGACGCAGGAGGCCGCCCTGGAGCGCGGCTGGCAGGGCATCCTCTCGCCATCGGGAAGGGCGGCGGCGCGCTCTCGAGGGCTTCACAGAAACAAAAACAAACGTAGCACAGCAGAAGCCAAACTGAACCAACGAGCTCTGTTCAAAAGCGCAAGTTGTTGTTGTTCTTTCGCAGGAGAGGCCGCGGCGCGGGAGTCAAAGGCGGACTCCCCAAGCCGAGTCAAAGGCGGACTCCCCAAGCCCGCCAGCCTGAGGAGTGATCGGGGCCCAGCGGCCAGTCCACGGTGGAGCAACCATTGAGCCTTATCGGGGCCAGGCATCTCTCTCACCCCCCCCATCTCTCCTTTTTTTCCGCTGTCTGACGCAATCGCCTGATCACCCCCGACACCGATGTTTGTGCCACCGTGTAAGAGTGCGGTAACTGTATAAGTGGGTCTTGTAGTGATCGACTTGTACTTAGCCCCTCGGCTTATGAGACAAAGCAAGAATATTCAGCTGCTCCTCTCCGGCCCGTCCCTTTGAGATCCTTGACGCCCTCATCTTCACGACGCTGCGCATGGCTGACGACACCATCCCGACATCGTCAGCGAAGGTACAGTTCCTAAGGCATGTCCTGTCTTGTTTTTTGTTTGGGGGGCGGCGGCGCACCGACAACAACAACAACAACAACAACAACAACAACAACAACAACAACAGCAGCAGCAACAACAACAACAACAACAACAACAAAAACAGCAGCAACAGCAACAGCAGCAACAACAACAACAACAACAACAGCAGCAGCAGCTGCAACAACAACAAGCATCATCAATTTGAAGCTGTTCGTCATTATCTGTTCGGGTGTCCATTAGCCGGTATTTCCCAAACCATCGATACCCGCCCTCTTCGTTTTCGATCGAATCCTTTTGGGGGGGTCGACCTTTCTTCCCTGCAGGCCAGGCCCCGGCAAGCGGCGGGGCGGCCGCGGACCGTCGGCCTGGCCAGCGGCAGCGCTGATCGGCGGCAACCAGACTCCAAGAGGGACGGACAGGGGACCGACCACGACGACGACGACGACGACGACGACGACGACGACGACGACGACGACGACGACGACGAGCGAAAGCGAGAGCAAGAGAGAGAACGACAGCAGGGCCACGAAGGGCACGAAGTAGACCACGAAGGGCGGCAGCAGGGACACAAAAGGAATGCGCAGGGGGCCACGAAGGGGGCGAACGAGCAGGGGCAACAAAGGGCGAGGGGGCCACGAAGGGCGACAGCGGGGCCACGAAGGGCATGCAGATGGGGCAACGACGGGCGCGAACGAACGGGGGCCACGAAGGGCATACATGTATGGGACCACGAGGGGCAACGAGGGGGCCACGAAGGGCTGCAACGGGGCCACGAAGGCCAGCGAGGGGGACACGAGGGGCTGCGAGGGGGCCACGAAGGCAGCGAAGGGGCCACGAAGGGCTGCAACGGGGCCACGAAAGGCAGCGAGGGGGCACGAAAGGGCTACAACGGGGCCACGAAGGGCAGCGAGTGGGCACGAAGGGCTGCAACGGGGCCACGAAGGGCAGCGAGGGGGCCACGAAAGGCTGCAACGGGGCCATGAAAGGCAGCGAGGGGGCCACGAAAAGCTGCAACGGGGCCACGAAGGGCAGCGAGATCCCGATTCCCAGGTAATCTGCGAGGGAGTCCTAAGCGTGAGCGCGACTCCTTGGTGCCTGAGTGTCGGGAGCGCGGCGCTTAGACAAACTGCGTGAAATTCCAACGCAAGGGCGCTATTCTTGAGTCGATTGCAAGCAAGTCTCCAGCAAGAGCGCGACTCCATAGCGCCGAGAAAGCGACTCCTTAATAGATTGCAAAGAACTCCCGAGCAACAGCGAATCCTGAATAAAACACGAGAAATCTCAGGCGGGAGCGGGGGTCCTGGTTAAATTGTGAAGAAGTCTCGGGCGGGAACCGTTGTTGTGGTATCCCGGGGGCCAACAACACAGTTTGAAGACGAAGACTGTCCCTGATAAAAACAGGGCGCGAGCGCCGGGAGGGGACCTTCAATTGAAAAATACAATGTGCACCGGGGGGGATCAACAACAAGTATTCTGAAGTAGTGTGAATTCAACAACAACAAAAACAAAAACAACACCAACAACAACAAAAACAACAACAACAATCAGTTTAGCCTCATGCGTGATGTTTCCACACGAAGCAGGCGATCATCGAAATAACTATCCCCACCATGGGGGAGCATGGTTCTACGGAGGGGTCCGTTATTCCCATTCCCAAATCTCCCGCCCAATGAGGTATTGCAAAAACCTTTTTCCGAGAAAATTCAACATATCCCACCTCGAGAACGTAAATGGAACATCAGGTCGGCACTTGTTGGATGTCTTGCCGTCTAAAGAACAGACAACCGGCAACTCCAGCTCCCCCTTTCCGCCTCGTTTGCGCTATCGGGGTCGGTGCTGGGTTGCAATGTGCAAGTTCAAACTCGGTCCGAATGTCCTCGATGTACTTCTTCCTCGGGGCAATATGTATCACGTCCTTGCTGGCTCTTGTCCGCGTAGTTCGTAAGTAAACTGAGCCAACCACCATGTTATCTGCCCCCTTCAGCTCGAGAGCTGGCCCCAGGTCCCCCTGCAAACAATTCCGCTCAGCATCACTTCCTGGCGCGCAAATACCAGCTTGACGAACCGCGAACAACAATGCTGAACCTGGCCTCCTGGAGATGCTCGGCTGCTCGGGGGCACTGCCCGATGCCTAATTCGCTCGTCTTGTCGACCACGTACTGGTTGAACTTCCTGGAAGCCTTGCGCTTGCCATACAGCTGGTTCTTCATCTTCCACCACGGTCGCCTGCACTGTATATATTGACCCACTCTGCTGGCGGATCCACGTAGACCTCCTCGTCCTCCTCCGCATGGAAGTAGGCGTTCTGGGCGCAAGACCATGGTAGTGTATCCGTGCTGCACCGCGTGCTGGTCGATGAGTCTTCGCGCGCTGCTCGTCGCTCCTGTAATTAACAAGCCTTCCAACTCGGGATCTTCACCTTTGAACTCTCTCGCCACGAATATGCATCTCCATGCTTCGGGCCTTCGTGACACGTTCTCCCATCTCGGAGATCGTGCGCATGCTTCTTCTGGTAGGCTCTCCACTGCGTCGAAGATGTCGAACTCCTCCATGGCATACATCTCCCTGTCCTTACCCTTGAGGATGGTCTTCACCACCTCTGGGTCGGCTCCCTGGTACTCGTCATGTGCCTCGTTATCGTAGTCCTGGTCGTCAAACTCGGCCGCAAACTCTGGTTCGCCCATTGTCGTGCACTCCTCAACGCGGGCTCTCCTGTCTCCACCATCCGTCTGCATGTATTATCAATCCCTCTCTTGGCAATGCTGCTTGCACTCGGTAACGTCAGTGAAGCAGTCTTGTCCGCTCTCAACTGCTCCGCGGTGTATCCCTGCGGCATCTCTGAACTTGCCGCACTCGACGCTGCAGCTGCCCGCTTTGGCTGATCTCCTTGCGTCGATGGTCCTGGTCCTGGTTGACCTCCTGCTGCTGGTGCGTCTCATCCAGGTGATGGCGATATCGGCAGCGCGACTGGTAATGGGGCGAGTGCTCGGTTCTTCTTTCTCGGTCTTCCCATAGCTCCCCCAGCGTACCTGTCCACGGCGCGCCCTTGATCCCATTCACGAGATCGGCCTTCACCTGGTCGGTCGCTGACGCGCGCCTCACCGTCCTGGTAGCGAAGGCGCCCTCGCCCGCCCCGGACAGGTGCTCATCTTCGCTCGTCTTCCCCAGCCAGATTCCTCGAACAAATCTTGCATCCGCTCGGCCCGGCCTGACTCATGCGCGCACCTCCCCAGTCGCCGCCACTGCGAGCTTGAGCAGTGCAGGCGCTCCGAACTTCAACACCTCGCCCTGGCACTTCTTCCCGAAGCTGTCCTCGAATGCTGCCCTCTGATTCGCCCCCATGTGAAGCCGATCGATAAGCCAACAAGCACGCCTCACCATCCAGGGCCAAACATCCATTGACAATCCAGGTTTATCTACATTCCCATTCTCGCTTACAACTCCAATCGCATTGTCCTGATCTGACCCTCGATCGACTGCTGAGTTCGACCGACTGCCCCCGCGCTTTGACAACAGAACCTCGGTGTCTTCTGGACATCGATCTCGATGCCGCCCAGCAAGCACTTCTGCCGCACCATGTCCGCAATAACTCCTAGAAGTGATGCATGACCAATCTTGAAAATCGCACTCTCGTAGGACATCCGCTTGGCAAACGATGAACAAGCAGATGCTATGAAGTTCGTCTTAGCTGACTTGTGAAGAAACGCCATCGCCATAACGTTCTGCGCTGCCGTGTCACCAACGCTAACGTAATCGCCCATGCCTGATCTCCTGGTGCATGTCGTCGCTTTGGGTCCTGCAGTAGGTAGCAGAAGTCAATCTCGAACCCCGGCTTCCTCTTCGACTCCTCAGCCCTCTGCTCGCGGGGCTTGGCACGCCCTTTTCCCATGACACACCGCGCGCACCATGGCTGGCACGGCAGGTGCACGATCTCATGGCGTTCTCGCTCTTCTCGAGATGGCTCTGGTGGCGCTCGTGGAAAGATGATGTCCCATTGGCCTCCAGCTTATGCCAACTCTCTTGCGCGCTCTTCTGGCCACTTCTCATCTCGCATCTCGAGCTCGAGCTTCGCCTCTGCATGCACCAAACGCCCCCATAGCTGCTGCTTTGATCCCATCGGGACCTCGAGCTCTTTCAAGCTCTTCATCATGTCCTCGACCCCACTTCCACTGAACAGGCCTCCGCGTCCGATGGGCTCCCCATGCTGTCGAACTTCAAGCCACTGCTGCGCAAGCTGTCGTGCTCCTTGGTCGAGTCGCACACTCTCTGATGTTCCTGGACCTGGCGCTTCTGGCGCCCCCGCGACTGCCACCGGTGACAATGCCCCATGCCGCAGGCCCCGCTGAACTTGAAGCTTCATATGGCGCCGATCGCTTTGGCTTGTCTGATACTAGCTGCATATCCTCATCAACTGGCGCGATCATCTTAGTCGACTCATCAACGGAGATGCCCCTCTTGATTCTTTGTCCGATCAGCTTGCCCTTGATGTAGACTGGAACTCTCTTGCGCCCTCGATCGGCGTCGACCTCGCCCCACGGCCTGCCCTTCCTAAACACCACGTCGATGCCATTCGAAACCAACTTGCCTACGCTGAGCAATGGTCTCTCCACGTCGCCCTGCAAAAACGGAATCTTCGCGCTGATGATCGCCTCGCCGAGGCCGTCCAGGATCGCGCATTCTACCATAACCTTTCTTCCTGATGCGATGCGCCCGCCGCTCGCAGCTTGGAGCCGCACACCTCCAGGTCCCACGTCAACTCCATCTTCACTGAAGTCCCATGGGCAGGCGTGCCCCTCGCATGCGCTGTCCAACGGAAAAAATCATTACCTCCTTGCTCGTATGTTTCCTGCCACGTGGAATATCCAAGCCTCCTGCCCCTCGCCGTCGCGGTCACCGTCGTCCACGCGCTCAAAGTAGTTAAAGTAGTTCAGCATGGTGGGGATGCCGCCCGCGATCGCGTCGACGTCGCACTGCCCCCGGTCGCGGCCCTCTGTGCTCTCGCAGTAGTAATCCGCACTCTCGCACTGGCCCTCCGCGTCAGCGCACTCGCCATAGTGGTCGCACTCGCACTCGCGGCAGCCGCACTCGTCGTCTGAGTCGCTCTCGGCGCGAACCTCTTCGACGACTGCCTCGACTGGGTCGGCGACTTCATTCACCTTCTTCGCTGGTGGATTTCCTCTAAGACGAGACTTGTTTTCTGCCCATGCGTGACCTTTCTCGCGGCAATGCCTGCGCTCGCCCTCGAACTCGGTTGTGGGCCCCGACGGTCCACGACCTCGACCTCGACCTTTTTCTGGCCCTTGCCTGTTCCTTTCCCTTTCGCCAGCCTGCAATCTCTCGCTCGATGTCCAGGTCGCCCGCATATGAAGCCTTTGCCCTTGCTCTTGCCTCCGCCGTTCCAGGCCGCGCCCACCTCCATGGAGATATATCCAGATCCTTGCTCGAATCCAAGTCAACGGCCGTCGCGATCGAAGGATCTCCCGAACTGCAGGCACTCCTTGATGTTATTCTGCCCTTCTCTGCACTGGCCGTTGGCTGGCCCTGTCGCCAATCCCACCATCGCCCGGATCGACCCTGGCGCGTGACTTGCCAGAACTGCAATCTTCATCTGGTCGCCGACCTTCTCGGCACTCTCCATCTCATACTCTCCGATGCGAGTCCCCCACTCCATCTGGTCGTTCGCGAACTCTTGGCCAGCGCGTCTGGGGCCCCATCCTGGTTGAAGAACTCCCATCAATTGCGCCGCGTGCCTCCCTCCCACGTCGGGCTGGTACCCGCTCTTGATCTTCCATGCCACCACTCCGTTGTGCTTCCCTGAGCCTCGCACTAGCGCCAGGGCCTTGCCACGCGCCGCGTTGACCAACAAGTAGTAGAGCTGTTTGGCCATCTGCTGCTGCGCTCCGTTGAGCAGCGCACTGAATTTGATGTCTATGTAGTCTCTGATTGCCCACTCTAGTGCGTCCTCCAACTGTGCCATGCCGCGCGCACTCTCGACGATGAAGGACCATTATTGCCACTGCTCGTCCTTGCCATTGAACACTGGACACTTGTTCAGCACTCTTGGGTCGATGTGCTGCTCCTGCCCGGCACCGTCTCCTCTGCCTCTGGCTTTGCCACCACCTTGGTTTACCTGCTCTGCCGCAAGCCTACGAGCTCGCTCTTGCTCAACTTGCCGTCGGAGCTCCGGGATCGCCGCGGCCAACTATTCGACTGTGGCCATCTGCAAGCATCTGCCGCTGCCGCTGCCGTGGATCAGCTGGAGCCTCGCTCCGCTACCATGTTGCAATATACGTTGGATGCTGAAGAAAGCCTTTTCCTCTCAACGTGCTCTTGGGCCGAAGGCTGCGAGCTAGCCCCTGACCCGTCCTGTTACTTCTCTGTCCAAACTCTCATCTTGCATCCACCTACGCCTCGGCTATACCTCGCCTATACATGTAAAATACCAACGAAGCAGGAAACCAGCAAGCGACTGCGTCGAGCTCTGTGTGCTCGCAGTCGCCGCACGCCGCCCAGCTCGAGCGTGAAGCTCGGCGATATGGTATATTTCTACCGCGAGGGCAAGCACAAGAGCTGGCGGCGGAAGGGCCCAGCCTTGATCTTCAAGGCCTCGCATGGCCCGGCCGTGGTCATGGGCATCGAGCCGGCGGCCATCTACGTCTCGCACGAGGGGCTGTCGACCAACTGCGACCCCGCGGCGGTCCGCCGCGAGTCGCCTGACGAGGCGCTGGGCATCGCGCCGGGGAGCAGCTGGCCACCATGGAGAAGGCGCTGCTCGACGCGGAGGGCGACGCGGAGCTCGACACGGAGGACGCAACCAAGGCGCACGAAGGGGCGCACGAGGAGGCGCACGAGGAGGCGCACGAGGCGCACGAGAAGGAGCTCAGAGGCCAAGACGAATACGACGAGAGCAAAGCACCGGAGGCGGACGCTCGACCTCCTCCAGCCGAGGAGGCCGCGGAGGACCACGAGGAGCATGAGGAGCAGCAACCCCCGCCTGGGGAGATCAGCGCGACCGGCACGACTGCTGCTGCTGCCGGCGCCGGTGCTGCGGGCAATGACATCCAGGAGGTAGAGCTGGCGCAGGACCCGGAAATTAGAGGACCCGTCCCAGCCAGGACAGGAGGAGCCACCTCAACAGGGACAGAAGCGCAACGCAGAAGAGGCGGAGCTACCAGAAGCACCATCTCGAGGAGGACGTGATGGACTACCGGAGCCCAGGCGTCGGACGACGTGCTGTGGGTCAGGAACGTGACGGAGAGGGCCGCCAGCTGGCTCACGAAGGCCACCGAAATCGACCGGAGGAGGTTTCTGGACCGCCTGGAGACGGTGGACCTAACCGACCCGAGGTTCGAGGCAACGGTAGTGCAGGTCTGGAGCCGTGTGGACCCGCCGACGCGAAGCCGAATTATCAGGAGGCAGCGGCGGCACGGTGGGCCAAGTGGATCGACGCTGAGTCCGTGGAGGTGCTGCTGCAGAAAGGGTCCGCCGACCTCGAGGAGTCGATGAAGCGCGAGAGCAAAGGCGACTACATCATGAGCACGCGGTTGGTGCTGAGTGACAAGAACGACCCGCTGCGGACGGAGGCGAACGACCTGCCGCTGAAGGCAAACGCGAGGCTCGTGGCCAATAGTGGCGACCCAGGGCGATCCAACGAGAAGTCCGACGCGCGAGTTGACGCCCAATGCGCGACTACACAGTCGGAGATGATCCTGACACAACGGACGGCGTCACATCCAGAGTGGAAGTTTTGCTCCAAAGAAGTGAATGGCGCCTTCCTGAAAGGCGAGGTGGACGAGCGAGGCATTGTGATTCGTGCCCTGCACTATGGGCCTGCTCTCGCCGACCTCCCACGAGGACGACTGGCACGACTTCGGAAGGGCGTGCTCGGTCTGCCTACGCCGCCGAAGCCGTGGTACCCGAAAGTGCTCTCTGCGGCTCGCAAGTTGAGCCTTCAGGCCTCGCGCTGGGATCCCGCCTTCCTGGTGCTGCACGACCCGAAGGCGAAGGAGCGAAGCCCGGACAGCCTGTGAGGCTGTGTCTGTCTCACGTAGAGGACTTCCTCTGGACGGGGAACGGCAAGATGGCGAAGGTGACGAACGCGCTGGGCTAGGAGCTCGGCTTCGGCAGCGAGGAGTAGCACGACTTCGTGCTCTGCGCCAGACGTCTCAAGCGACAGCCTGGCGGAGCCACTCACATCGACATGACAGAACATATGTGGCCGGACTGGAGCCAGTGCCTCTGCCCGGGAGTCGGCGCGCATCAGCACACCTGCTTATGAACGCGACAGAGTGGAAGCAATGCCAGCAGGCGGTCGGCAAGACCAACTGGGTGGTGACGAGGCTGCGGGTAGACCACTCGCACGACCTGGCGGTGCTGCAGCGCGAGGTGGGCCGCAAGCAAGGGCCGAGGGTCTCGGCCCACACATCAAGGCGAACCGGGTGCTGAGGGAGCTGAAGTGAGACGCGACCTTCCAGTCCTCCTCCTGCCTCCTCCTCCTCCTCCTCCTCCCCCTCCTCCTCCTCCTCCTCCTCCTCCGGACCCCCTCTTCCCCCGTCCGCCTTGTCTGAGACACTGCTCCTTAGAGCCAGCTTCATGAGGCCGATCGATTTCAAGAAAGTCCGCCTGGTGGTGGTGTCTGACAGCTCTCTGGGCAGCGTGATGAAAGACGGCACGGCGCTGCAGTCGGACCCGGCGACGAGAAGATCGGCACCCAGGGCGGCTACCTGATCATGTTCGCGGATCGGGAGCTCGTGGACGGGGGCGTCGGCCAGTTCTCGCTTCTGGAAGGACGGAGTCATGAGTTGAAGCGTGCGGCGAGGAGCTCCTACGCGGCGGAGGTGATCTCTCTGGGCGATGCTGTGGACGTAGCTCAGGAAGTGCGAGACCAACTCGCAAAGATGCTGTACGGCCCCGTGGCAAGGGGCACCGAGCTGAAGTTGTCAGGCTGGCAGATCCCGATGACGGCAGTGACGGACTCGAAGGATGGCCACGACAGGCTCAACTCGGACGCGGGCGTGGGCAGCTCAGCACAAAGTCGGTGAACATGAAGTTGGCGAGCCTCCGCGAGATCTTAGACCGACCTTAAACAGCAGTAAGATGGAAGGATGGCACCAACATGCTGAGCGATTTGTTGACGAGGGACATGCTGGCTGAGCACCTTCGAGAAGCGCTAGCACGGGGCACGTGGAGTATCGAGCTCCGAGAAGGTATGGTGAAGACTGCGAGGCGTGTCGACAGCGAGCGCTGGGAAGCGCGGGTGCGAGAGTTGGCTCAGGGAAAGTTTACGCCTGGAGCTCTTGTGCCGTCAGATGTGAACAGGACCTCTTTTATGTTTTTTCCCTTCTCGGATGCTGTGCCGAAGCAGTTGTAATGTTACACACTCGCGTTTCAACAATATGAGATTCCTTACCTCCCCGCCTCGGAGTACGAATATCCGCTAGGGCCGTCTAGCCCGCTACACCTTCTGCTGCGAGAGATGGCTAGACAGAGCTTGCTGCAAGCGACTTGTTTACGAGTTCTTGAAAATTAGCTGAGAGGGCTCGCCTACACGCTTTGATTTGTTTCACGATCGCAGGTGGCCACTGCGATCATTTGGGTTCTGGGAACTATTGTGTTGCTTAGATTGCGGCGGAGACAAATCCACAAAGATGAAAGATCCATGTCGTAAGAATGCGAACTCCTGTGGATTATCTCCCCTGCCCCATCTGAATACCCCTGTTATCATCCCTTACGCTCTTTCTCTCTCTCTCTCTTTCATTCCCCCCTCTCGCCTGCTGCTGCCAGCTCGGCTCGAGCCGGTTTGACACAGCTTGGCCACTGGAGCGGTGGTCCGCGAGAAAGGGCGCCCTACCTCGATCCCTGCCGGGATCCGCCGCTGTCCCCGATGCCGCTGCGGGCAGGGAGGTAGGCCGCCGGAGGCTACCCGGTTCCGCATAAAGGGTCATCATGAGGCTGCCGCTCCGAACGCCCCATAATCATACGACTAGAAGACCGACGTTGTGCCCCATGGCGACTTGCTTGGACAAGCGCATGGCATTGTCACCGCGGAAAAAGCTCCTTGGGGCCATGGCAAGCAGCGATGTGGTAGCGGATGGTGTACGTGAAGGGCCTCTGCGCTTCAAATCCGCCGACCCCTTGGGGTCTGAAGGCGTGTGAGACTGTTTCCCCCTATAAACCCTCCAGGGCCCAACAATTGTCCCCGTCGCTCCACCGCCGTTCCAGCCATTTGACATTGGGCGCTGCCGTCAACGCGCGTGAGCGGGAAGCGCGCAACCGACTTTGACAGCGCGGTACACTGCCAATGGGGCCCACGGGCCCGCGGGTCAAGCTACCTGTGAGGCCATTTGAGAGTGGGCGCCACTGTCAACGCGCGTGAACGGGCAGCGCGTCGCCGACTTTGACAGCGCGGCGCACTGTCATTGGGGCCCACGGGCGCCATGGCCCCACAGGCCGCCTGCGAGGCCATTTGACAATTGGGCCCACTGTCAAACGGCCCCATGCCACCACGGGGCCCCGACACCTTTGACAGTGCGGCCCACTGTCAACCAGGGACCTGCGGGGCCGTTTGGCAGTGGGGCCCACTGACAAACAGAGAACTCTCATGTCAAATGGCCTACAGTTCGCACACCGGTGAAATCCTTGGAATACTGGTTGAAAGATTGATCCACTGTTGCGCGTAGCATCGCACATTTTCCTTCGGTGTTCTTTTTTCGAAATTGTTTTGCTGCATCGCCATTTCTAGCTGCCCACTACCCAAAACAGCCCAAGAGGCCTCGAATGCCGCTCCCAGGCGGCCCAAGAAGCCCCCAACCGCGCGCCAAGACAACACAAGAGAGCCCTAAGAGAGTTCCCAAAAAGACCGAGGAGTGGGGACACGAATTGGCAAAGCGAGCCTTTCCTTCCAAGATCGTTCCAAAAACGCCCCACAATAAGACCACCAAATGCCGCAACACCGCCCCGGACCGCTCACATACGCCCCTCAACGAGGATCCTTAAAAAACAAATTATCCCACAGCGACCCTACCTAGGAGTTGGAGCCCCGAGGAGAACAATATCAGTAGTAACGGTGAACGCCGTCCTCCTCCGTCTCCTCATCGTCGCAGTTGTAGCAGTAGCGGTAGTAGTAGTCGTCGTCGTCGTCGTCGTCGTCGTCGTCGTCGTCGTCGTCGTCGTCGTCGTCGTCGTCGTCGTCGTCGTAGTAGTAGTAGTACTACTACTACTACTACTACTACTACTACTACTACTAGTAGTACTAGTACTAGTACTAGTACTAGCACTAGTACTAGTACTAGTACTAGTACTAGTAGTAGTAGTAGTACTACTACTACTAGTAATAGTAACAGTACAGCTTAATACCTACATCTACATCTAGACCTACATCCACATCTACACCTACAGCTAAATCTAAATCGAGGCTAGCTCGGCACCTGTCGCACATTGCTGTTGCTTTGCCTTTCCTTTGATTTGCTTTTGCGTTTACTTTGCTTTGCGTTGCGTTGCTTGTGCTTTGCGTTGCTGTTGCTGCTGTTGACTTGCCTTTGCGTTGATGCTATGCTATGCTATGCTATGCTGCGATATGCTATGCTATGCTATGCTATGCTGCGCTATGCTATGCTATGCTAGGCTATGCTGCGCTATGCTATGCTATGCTAGGCTATGCGATGATATGCTATGCTGCGCTATGCTATGCTATGCTATGCTATGCTGCACTATGCTAGGCTATGCTATGCTATGCTACGCTATGCTATGCTATGCTATGCTATGCTAGGCTATGATATGCTATGTTATGCTAGGCTAGGCTATGTTATGCTATGTTATGCTATGCTATGCTGTGCTGTGCTAAGCTAAGCTAGGTTGTGTTATGCTATGCGATGATATGCTGCGGTATGCTATGATATGCTATGCTATGCTGCGCTATGCTATGCTGCGCTATGCTATGCTATGATATGCTATGATATGATATGATATGCTATGCTATGATGATGCTAATGCTGCGCTGCGCTGCGCTGAGCTAAGCGACATTAAGCTAAGCTAAGCTAAGCTAGGCTAGGCTGAGCTAAGCAAAGCTAAGCTAAAGCGAAGTCAAGCTAAGCTAAGCGAAGCTAAGCTAAGCTAAGCTCAGCTAAGCTAAGTTAAGCTAGGCTAAGCTAAGATGGGATAAGCAACGCTAAGCAAAGGGGACGTAACTGGGGGAACCGCGGGGCGGATACTGGGGGAACCGCCCGGGGCGCTTTCCACTGCCCAGCTCCTTTAAGCCCAGAGAGTAAGAACCCTTCTAGGCAGAGCCTAGGTAGGGAAAAAAACAAGAATGTTCGTCAAATGTTTCGAGGTTTTTTGTGTCATCGTCTTTCTGGGGCTTCCTACTACGCAAGACAACCCAAGAAGCCTCCAAAATGCTCCCACACAGCCCAAGAAAAGATCCCAAGTGCGCGCCGAAACGGAACAAAAGAGTCCCACGACGGCCCCAAAGGCGTCCAAGACGGGTCAAACGAGCCCATCAAAATCTCCAAGAGTCGTCGACATCGCCATCTACCAGCGTGAAAAATCGTCAATATAGGAGTGTCAACACCAGCACAACGGCCTCTTACACAATCATCACGACGACCACCCATCGTCGCCATACTCGTCCTCCTCGACGTATTGGTGAACGTCATCATCGTCGCCGTCGTCATCATCGGCATCACCAGCGTCGCCCCAAGCAGTGGCATCAGCACGAGCATCACCACAGCCCGCAACATCACCATCATCACCGTCACCACGCCCCCCTTCCTTCAAACACAAAACATAAACAACTACCACCGCATGCGCTCGCAACAACATCCCCATCACCACCAATATAACCATCCTCATCAACACCCCGACACCGCATCAGCACCACACACCTCCGATCACCAAGTCCGGATGTATGGTCGCCCCCCCTCATCACCGCCGTCGCAATCACAATCAATATCAGCTTGCTCGATACCCACACCATCATCATCAAAAAAATCCAGCCTCGTCCCATGATCAATACCAGCCTCGACATTGCGACAACCATGTCCGTCACCGCCACCATTATCAGCACCGCGCACCCCCGATCCGAGATGGATCTCAACCCTCGCGAGCATTGTCGTCGCCGCATTGTAGTTGCCGTAAGCGTGGGCACGATCGCCCTGATCGTCGTCGCCACGAACGCCTACATCTTCATCATGAACATCGTCGTCATCGTCATCGTCATCATCATCATCACCATCATCACCAGCATCACCATGTTCATTCTCGTCGTCATCATCGTTACCGTCATCAACAGCATCAGATAATACACTCGCACGCGCGCCGATGTCAGCACACGCTTCGCGACCCCTGTTGGAATTCTAGAAAGCGCGAAACTACTCGGGCAAGCAGCAGCGGGCAATGATGAGCAACAGTGGGCAAGAAAAGGCAATAGTGGGAGCGAAATCTATCAAAATTCACAGGCGCGGAGCTCCCCATATGTCAATATCATTTTGAGACGCCACTCGCCGCGAGCGTCTGAATGCGATGGGACATCGGCCTGACAGCGCTTGGCTCGAGAATCAGCCGCAATTCGCCGAGATATGAAAGAGCTCAGATGCACCGAAACGCCAGCTCGTGTGAGAGTGAGCCGCAACCTGCTTTGGTACGGGAGAAGCCCACTGCTCCAAACTAGCGCTTCGCTTGAGGAGGGGCCACAATCTGACCGCGAACGAACCCGCAATCACCCTTGCGGACACCCCTTTGGCGCGCGCCGAAGCAGCGCGTCGCTGGAGCGAGCTAAAATCGAACCTGCTTCGACAAGAAAGAATGTGGGGGCGCTGGGACAGCTTTTCGCTCGAGAGCGAGCCGCAATCTGACCGCGAACGGGCCCGCGATGCACCCCACGGCGGCTGCCCCTAGGACTGCGCCGACACAGCGTTTCGCTCGCGAGGGATTTGCAGCCAGGCCGCGAACGGGCCCGCGATATACCCCCTTTAACTTCGCCAAAGCATCGTTTCGCCTGTGAACGAATCGCAATCTGCTCTGGCGAAAGAGAGCTCGGGGGCGCTGCACAAGAATCCCACCAGCCCTTTGGGCGTGAGTGGTTTAGAGAGCCCGCTCTGTCCTCAACCCCCCTTCTTCCCCTTCGGGGAGGGGTTTACCCCCTACGTCGTCAGGGGGGGTCTTTTTCGACGTCTGGGAGGGCCAAAAAACGACGACCTTCACGAGGATTCTGGCCCCGATGGGGGGGGGGAGAGTTTGGTGCCTCAGCCGTCTTTGAACCAAAAATCATTGATTTTACTACGGTTTTGGCCCCATCTTGGCCTTCTGAGGGGGCCGCGTTCCCCTTCCTTCATCGCAAAATCATTGAGTTTACGAAGGTTTGGGGCTCATTTTGTCTTTCTCAGGGGGCAGCTCTCCTTTGCGCTTCTGCGGAGGTCGCAAGAGGCCCCAAGATGGCCCCAAGAGGCCCCCAGGAGGCTCCCAAGAGGCCTCCAAGAGGCCCCCCAGAGGCCCCCAAGCGGCCCCAAGAGGCCCCCAAGAGGCCCCCAAGAGGCCCCCAAGAGGCCCCAAGAGGCCCCCAAGAGGCCCCCAAGAGGCCCCCAAGAGGCCCCACGAGGCCCCAAGAGGCCCCCAAGAGGCCCCCAAGAGGCCCCCAAGAGGCCCCCAAGAGGCCCCACGAGGCTCCAAGAGGCCCCCAAGAGGCCCCACGAGGAGCCCGAACGACTCACACAGGACGAGGGGCCCGAACGACTCACACCACGAAGAGCCCGAACGACTCACACCACAAGGAGGGGCCCGAACGACTCACACCAGGACGAGGCGCCCGAACGACTCACACCACGAGGAGCCCGAACGACTCACACCACGACGCGGGCCCCGAACGACTCACACCACGAGGAGCCCGAACGAGTCACACCAGGAGGAGGGGCCCGAACGACTCACACCAGGATGAGGGGCCCGAACAACTCACACCACGAGAAGCCCGAACGACTCACACCAGGACGAAGAGCCCGAACGACTCACACCACGAAGAGCCCGAACGACTCACACCAGGAAGAAGGGCCCGAACGACTCACACCAGGACGAGAAACCCCAAACGACTCAAATCACGAGGAGCGCTTTCTCTCCCTCCTCCTCCGCCTCGTCCTTCTCCCGCTCCCCTCACAAGGAGGATGTACAAGGAGGCGGGAGGAAGGAGGAACAGGGGAGATATGCGGGGCCAAGCGGACACACGCCTGAAAAACACGACTGTCGGCATGCTTCGCGAGAGTTGCTGCTGTGAGATGGGCTGGTGGGGATACGCGAAGCGTAAAGAATTTCGTTCGAGAGTGCGCCAGTCTGACTGCGAACGGGCCCGTGATATACCTCCTAGCGGCCGCCGCTAAGACCGTGCTGAAGCAACGTTTCGATTGAGAGCGAGCCACAAACTGCTCTCATGAAGGAGAACTCGAGTGCGCCAAAACAGCATCTCGCTCGAGAGCGAAACAAGATCAGACCACCAAGGGGCCCTCGATGCATCCCCTGGCGGCTCCGTTTTTGGAGTGCTCCAAAGCCGCGTTTCGCTTCAAAGTGTCCCGGTGCGATCAAAAAACGTCGAGCCTGGTACTTTACGAAGTCTCCTACACTTTAACTGCTTCGGGCGATACATTTTGAACAATTCGTTCGCGATGGCTCCGCGGTAGCCACACGGTGTGAATGTTCATCGAAGTCAGGAGGCCTGCTGACGTAGAGCAAAACAAGCCAGAAAGGTCACATCGCTTACCTCGTTTGCACTTGAATTCACATTACTCATGGCCCAGGAGCAGCGCATGTGAACAACAGAATGTCAAAGAATTGCCTGGCAAAAGACCCAACTATATGCAGTTGTGAATACATTCGTTGTACGCACCGCATTCGGAGGACCTCCTTATAGGGCCACGAGACATGTGGGGGGCGTGCCAAAAATTGTCCGGCGGGTGTATGCGAAAGCAGCCACTTGGGCCGTCGGCGGAATTCCCTATGGGACCACGAAGCGCGTGACAGGGTGTGCCGAAATAGTTGCGGTGGGCGCATGCAAACGCAGCCACTGGGGCCTTCGGTGGAGCTCCCCATGGGACCACGAAACGTGAAAGGGATGTGCCAAGATGGGTGCGGGTGACGCGTGCGGGCGGTGGCACTAGGGCCTTCGGTGGAGCTCCCTACGGGGCCACGAAACGTGTAAGGGGCGTGCCGAAATGGGTGTGGGTGACGCACGCGGGCGGTGACACTGTGGCCTTCGGTGGAGCACCCTATGGGGCCACGAAACGCGTGAGGGGTATGCCGAAATATGCGCGGGTGACGCATGCGGGCGGTGGCACTGGGGCCTTCGGTGGAGCTCCCTATGGGGCCACGAAATGTGCCGAAGCGGGCGTGGGTGACGCACGCGGGCGGTGGCACTGTGGCCTTCGGTGGAGCTCCCTATGGGGCCACGAAATGTGCCGAAACGGGCGTGGGTGACGCACGCGGGCGGTGGCACTGTGGCCTTCGGTGGAGCACCCTATGGGGCCACGAAATGTGCCGAAACGGGCGTGGGTGACGCACGCGGGCGGTGGCACTGTGGCCTTCGGTGGAGCTCCCTACGGGGCCACGAAACGCGTGAGAGGTGTGCCGAAATTGGTGCGGGTGACGCATGCGGGCGGTGGCACTGGGGCCTTCGGTGGAGCTCCCCATGGGGCCACGAAACGCTGCACTGGGTAGGCGAAACGCAGGGAGGAAGGAGGGGGAGGAGGGGGAGGAGAGCGGAGGGAGGAGGGCGAGGAGGAGTGACGCGGGGCGCTGTCTTTTCAAAACGAGGACCCAACACCACAGGACGGTTGGGAATAATACAAGTTTGGCGGTCCCAGTTCCTGACAATCCGCGCGCGGATCTTCCAATGGAGCTTAAAATCGGCAAAGGGGCCTGCGGGAGAGGCGAAGCCATTAGAGACGCAATCATATGTGCTCAAACTCCGTCGCAGACTAGTCCGCATAGAGTTAGGACTAGCTGGTCTAAGCGAGTGCGGTATCCTAAGAGGGGCTCGGAGGCGACGGCCACTAAACAGGTCAAGGCGACTGTTTGGGGCTTCTTTGGGGCCTCCTGGGTCCTCTTGTGGTCTTCTGGGGTCTAACTGGGTGGGTTGTCCAGTATCTTCCTCGTGTTCCTCCTCGTCCTCCTCCTCGTCCACCAGCCTCCTCCTGCATTGGCTCCTTGCCGTCCCCATCACTCGAAAGCCCGGATATCCTGGGCAAATGAAGATATCCAATTGTCTCGAACTAGCCCCTCCCCGTATAAATCGAAACCGACCTCGTTCAAGGGGTCGGCGGATGTGGCGTAAGACTGTAGAATGACCAAGCAATCAACGGATGTGGCGTAAGACTGTGATCAACGATCAACGGTCGGTCGCGTATTGACGCGTCTGGGGATCAGTCGTTAAACAATTGCCAACTGTATTGACGCGTGTGGGGACACGTCGGGTCAGTCGAGGCCGATGTTGTATCACAGCAGCAACTCGGCCCCTGATTTTCGTCCGGGGTTCGGCTTAGTGAAATTATGAAAATCTTTGTCCTTACGTGGGAAAAAAATAAAAACATCACCTCACTGATCTGGGGCCCCTGGGGCCTCAACAAAATTAGTGACGTGATGGTGTTCGGGCCTCGGATCATAGCCTCGCTACCGTGGTCGCTCGGTCCGCGAGCAATTCCTCGTCACGGCATTATAAATACACGTCGTTCATGTCTAATCGTGCTCACTTCTAATTGTGCTCGTTTCTAATTGTTCCTGGCCCCCTAGTGGCCAGGGAGAGGCCCAGGCTAGAATTAGAAATGGAAGGATCTTGGCCCCCCAAAACATCAGGGGACTTTCGAAGAATTAAACATGAACCATGTGTATGCCAACTGAGCGTTTTGACGCGTATTGACGCGTGGGGACGCGCGAGGTCAGCAGCTGACCATAATAAAGTAGCTCATAGCCTCGTTACCGTGGTCGCTCGGTCCACGACCAGGTTCTCGTCACGGCACGGCGATCATCTCACCTGGGGTTAGGTCGGGCACGTCCCCCTACAGGCGGATCTTGGACGAACAAGAAAACCAAAAAGATAATCAAAAAACAGCCGAACAAAGTAATCGAAACATCGTCCCAAGACTGTTTTTTTTTAACTATTTGTTCATGTTCCCCCTGTAGAGGGACACGTCCGACCTAAACCTGGGGGCCCCCTGCTGAAGGGGCCCTGGGGCACACAAATGAATACACACAAATAAAAGGATTCCCCATATGCTCCCACATTTTCTGGGTTTCTGTCTTCCCCCCCCCCCACACTGCCCATATCTTACCATATTTTCCTGGGAGTCGACGATGGATTGTGTCTGTGTGCTTTTGCCCCTCCTGGCCTGCGTGGAGGCCTCGAGCAGTTGTTCCCCAATCAGAGCTTGCCTCTGTAGGAGCCCTATTGCCTTATAGCCCCATAGCCCTAAAGCCCCAAAACGATTATGATTGGGTGTTTTCTCTGGTAATCATCATGTTTTGTTCCCCTCCTGGCCTGCGTGGCGGCCTCGGGCAAATCTGCACGCGCGGCCACGCGACGGCGGGGCGGCGGCCGCGGGCGCCCGGGGCCCCTGCGCCGGCCCGCGCACCCCGCGGCGCAGCGCCCGGGAGATGGCGCCCGCCCAGCACGCGGCGCCCTCGGCCGCGCAGCCCTCGGCGGCGCCCTCGCCGCCGCCCTCGGCAGCCTCCGGCGCGGGCACCTCGGGGTCGGCCAAGGAGGGACCATCCACGAGCGTGAAGTCGGGCGTGTTCCCCTGCAGGGGGATTTTCGACGAAAGATACAAAAATACCCCCAAAACACTCCAAAATGGTGGAAAAATACTCCAAAAATAGTTCCCTGACTATTTTTTGACTACTTTTGAATATTCCTCCTGTAGAGGGACAAGCCCGACTTCAGACGAGCGCGTTCCACTACTCGCAAAGGAACTACTCGCAAATGGCCCGGATCCCCCAGGGGGGACCTACGATGACTTACGTCAAGGCAGACAGGTGTTTTTCGGGCGTTTGCGAGTAGGCATTTCGCGAGTTGTGGAACGCGCTCGGCGAGTCCAAGAGGGGGGGCGCGAAACCTCCTAGCCAGCGGCACGTGCGCGGCCCAGGGTGGGGGCCAGGGGGACGTGACCAAGCAGGAGCAGGCGCCAGGTGATCTGGGGAGAGATTGCATGGCCCCCGCCATGAGATCCCCCCCCCGCCAGCACCCCCCTCCTGGCCGCCCCCGAGCACCGCGGCCGCTGCCGCGCCGGGGAGGCCCTCCTCGAAGCACGCGCTGCGCTGCCCGACGCCCGCCCCCCAGGGCGTGCCCCTCGGCCGCTGGCCGAGCGCGGCCTGCTGCTCCCAGTACGCCTCGGACCGGAGGCGCCGGAGGGGGGCCTCCTTCTGCGCGGCCATCGCGGGCCACCTCCTGGGGGGGTACATGACTGGCTCGAGGAGCACCTGCTCGAGGAGCACCGGCTCGTCGCCGCCCTTCTGCGGAACGGTGGTGTCGTGGCCGTGGTCGTCATCGCACCGATCGCAGATCAGCAGCTCCGACGACGGGCACCGCGTGGGGAGCGAGCTCTCTCCGGGGGAGCTGGGGCGCGCCGTCTTGCCCTTGATCGGGTCGGCGAAGGCAGCATCGCCATCTTGAAACATCGCCATGAGCACGGGCATATGCTGTAAGAGCGGTGGCCAGCCCGCAGGCACGCGTCGCCCACTGGTTAGCCCTTGTGCCTTGACCAGAATGGCTCGAGCCAAAATGGCCACGGACCTCTTCCCCTTTGCTGCTATTGGGATGCGTTGCTGAGAGGATTCGTCCCGGATCCACTTTTGACGGACCCGGGGCGAGGGGCAACGATAGTGGAGGATCGGCTCAGGGAGAGCAACATCGACCCAGAGTCGCCGATACATCGCCGATAGATCGGCGATTGGCTCCCGATAGCGAATGCGCACGGCCCTGGGCAGGCTGGGGCTATCAAGCCCCTATCGGCGATGAATGGGCGATCGGGGGCCGAAGCATCCTCTGGTGAGCCCATCACCCCCTCCCCCGAACGTTGCCCCTCATGGTCTTGAAGGAGCCCCGGGACACACAAATAAATGCGCAAACAATTAACCGGATTCCCCAAATGTTGCCATGTTTTCGGGGTTTTCGTCCTCCCCCCCACGGCCCATATTTTCCCAGCTTTTCCTGGGGATCGACGATGAGTTGTGTCTGTGTGTGCTTCCTGAGCATTTTCGTAGGGTGGAGGGCCCAGGGTGAAATCCGTATGGGCTTTTGCACCTCGAGATCCAATCCGTCTGGTGCTTCACCTCTTGCAGATGCAAGCCTCGACAATCAGTCGAAACGGCGTCTCATATTTCACCCTCTGCCCTCCACCCCAAATGTTGCCATGTTTTCGGGGTGTTCGTCTTCCCCCCCACGGCCCATATTTTCCCAATTGTGTCTGTGTGTTTCCTCCCCTCCCGAAGAACTCGAGCCTCCGGCGGCCGCCGGGAGCGCCCCCGGAAAGAGCGCCCCCGGGGAGCGCCCTCGGCGAGGCGCTCGGCCGCCGAGGGCGCGCCCCGAGGCCGGAGGGCCGGCGAGGGCCGAGGGCAGCGCTCGAGAACCCCAGGCGCGGAGGGGGGCCCCCGGGGGCACACATTGCCAGCCCGGAACAGATCCCTATCCCTCTGCTGGGCCCCTCCTCATCACGATGCCAATCTTGGGGATTCCCTCATTTTTCGAGGGCGAATCCCTAAGATTGTCATCGCCTTTGGGCGTGTCAATCTTAGGGATAGGGATAAGTTCGAGGCTGGTAAATACAGATAAACACACACACACACAAATAACAGGATTCCCCATCTTTTCCCATATGTTCCCATGCCTTCTCAGTGTTCGTCTCCCCCCCTCGCTTCCCACACATGTTCCTTGGGATCGACGATTCATTGTGTCTGCGTGTTTTTGTCCCCTCCTGACTGACCTCGAACCGATCCCCCATAACGATGCCCCCCTCGCCGGTCCTCCTACAGGCGGATCTTGGAAGTCAAACCATGCTCAGAGGTGGTCAAAAAAGAGCACCAGACACCGTCACCTGAAGAGAATCTTGGACCGTCCTCGCGGCTCCCTCCTGCAGAGGAACGTGCCCGACTCGACGGCTGACGCTGCCCCCCGGACGCTGCCCCCTGGCAGGGCCCCATTGGGGAGGGGCCTCGGGGCCCACCGCCTGCGATGGCAGCCACGAGAAGACCTCCGAGGACGGCTCCCGGGAGGCGGGGCGCCCTCTCTCGGAGACGGAGGGGCCGCCGCCCCCTCCCCGGCCCTCCCCTTGCCGCACGCCGCGGGGGGAGGCGCCTCCGGCTGGAGGGGGCTCGGAGGGGGGGGAGGATTGGACGGAGGGGAGAGGGTGCAGGGGTGCGAAGCATGGCAGAAACATAAAAACTGGGAGGTCCGCGCAGATTTCTCGGATCCGCGCTGGACCCCCTCCATGGCGCGCGGAGAGCGCCAGGGGCGGCGCCGGCGGGGCCGCCAGAGGGGTCCAGCACAGATCCGAGAAATCCGCGCGGACCTCCGAGTTCTTCATGTTATGTCATTCTTCGTTCCCCCAGGGCAGGCATATGGAGAAACGACATCAAGACCACCAGGGACCACCAGCGGGAGGAGCCAGGGAGGGGTCCCCCTGGTGGTGTGGCCCCCCCCTCTCGCTCAAGACATCCCCTATCCCCAGCTCGGGGAGGCATCGTGGGCCTCCTCGCTGGAGGTGGCACCCCTTGTGGTGTTGGTGTCGCTTCTCCTCCCTCCGAGGGGAGGGGGGAGAGCAGGATACAACCTTCGGGATCAACCAAAGGGGGGGGGCCCTGAGGGGGGGCATGAGTTCGGCCCGCTGGTGCACCGAAGCGCCGCAGACCGCAGACAGATGCCCCCCGCATGCCCCACCGATCGGCAACTGTCGGGAGCTGCCGGTGGCTGGGGGGTATCTGTTTTGGGCGGTTCGGTGCAAAAACCGATCGAAGTCTCTCTCTCTCTCTCTCTGACACACACCGGGGCACACACACACACACCATTTGCGGAGTCCCTGAACATCACAGTGAACGTGTGCAGCCGAGGTACTGCCAGAAGGCAGGCCTAATCAGGAACGAGGCCCCTTTTGTGAAGGGGCCCTGGGACACACAAATAAATGCAAACAATTAACAGGATTCCCCATATTTTCACATATCTTGTGGGTTCTTGTCTTCCAGCCCAATTCCCGTATTTTCCCATATTTTCTGGGGGATCGACGATGAATTGTGTCTGTGTGTTTTCTCCCCTCCTGATTTTAGGCCCCGGGAGCGCCCGGGTAGCACGGGGAGCGGCAGGAGGAACAGCCACGGAGGAGCTCCAGGAGCCGCGAGCCACTTCCGAACCCAAAGCGGTCCTCATTTCAGCGTCGTGGCTTAAGTCGGGCCTGTCCCCATACAGGGGGATTTGGGATGAAAAATGGGAGAAAAAAAAACAGAACAAAAACAACAACAAAAAACTCAAAAATTGTCATAAAATCGTCCCCTGACTATTTTTTGACTATAGCTGAGTAGTTATTCCTCCTGTAGAGAGACAGGCCCAACTTAAGTCTGGGCTGTACAGTGGAGGCCAGTCCACAGGAAACCTTCCACAAGGAAACCCAACCCCGAGACCCCAGGACGTCCACTGATTCTCGGTGTGGGAACATCGCGCTTTCCGCCGCAAATCCATCAAAGCCCAAGAAATTCAGGGCACCCTGGAGGCAAGCAGGGTGTTTCTTGGCATGGGCCTCCACTGTATTTCAGCGAACCTTGGCTGTATCTTCACACGTCCGGGAGCCGACGGGCGCTGAAACGGACAATCAAGGGACCGACGTCCCGCGCGCAGCATCCGGAGCCGTTTAGGCTCAGGGCGCTGGACCACACAAGGCTCCTCCCAGGTTCGGCAAACCCTGGGGAGTCTAGCGGCAGTTGAAAAACGTCCCTTTCACGTCTGGTTGTCTGGGGGGTGGACATGGAAGGATGGGATCGGGGGGCGTCCAAGAGTCCAAGAGGGGGGGCGAGTAAGCAAATCATTGCCCAACGAACGTGCGCGGCTCAGGGAGGGGCCGGGGGTCGTTTCAAGATAAGAAGAAGCGCCAGGAAGCCTGCGGAGATATCATGGCACGAACCATGAGATCCACCGCCCTAATCATCACCCCGCTATAGGCCGCCCCGAGGGGAGAGGGTGAGGATGGAAGGAAAAGCGAGAGGAGGAGGGGGCAGGGAGCATGGAAGGCGCAGAGAGCAGTGAGCACCTCTGCGGACTTAGGAACTTAGGAAAGAGCGGACTTAGGAAAGAGCGGCATCGCCGTCGGCCGGCAGCCGTCCCTCGGGCTCCGCTCGAGGCGTCACCGACGCCGAGGTGTGCCACGCCGCGGGGAGGAGCCAAACGGGGAGCGGGGAGAGGAGACCGGGAGGAGCAGAGGGAGCGGGAGCCCAGCCCGCCCACGGCTCGACTTGACCCTGTCGTCAACCCCCGGGGGCTCTCGGCCCCCAGGGCCCGAGCGCACTCGGATCCCGCGTCGCAGAACGACGGGAGCGGCTCCCCAACGCCGAGGTCGCAGCACGACGGGAACGGCTCCCCAACGCCGAAGTCGCCAGTAAGTCCTGGCCCTGGCGAGCCGAGACCTGGACGGGTCCAACTTCAGGGCGCCTTGCCTCGGCCAGCCCCCCGGGGGAGCGCGTCCATCACGACGAGATCTATACACATCCACCGCTCCCTGGCCAGGCCCATCCTGAACCCGACGGCGGTGTATACGCCACGCCCTCCTAGCTTGGCCAGGAGGGCGTATACACAACTCCTCTCTGGACGCCCGAGATGGGTACGGAAAAATGGGCACGATGCCCAACAGCACATGTTGTCCAGAACCGACAGCGGCCGCTGTTGGGCAGGCGGCATGTTGTCTCGAATGGACAACGTCCGCGGCGACGCCAACAGCGAACCCTGTTCAAGATGGACAAGAACTGCTGCCAGTCTTCGTACCCATTCATTGCGTGCCCACCTCGATCGTACCGATCCTAGGCCCAGGAAAGGCCCGGTGGCTCAAGGCGGCTCAAGATGACTCCCAGCATGTTCCAAGAGGCTTCAAGTCCGCCCCTAGACGGCCCCAAGTGGCCACGGAGTCTCCCAAGGAAGCCACCAAGAGGTCACAATCCCTCAAGAAGCAAAAGAAAATCAAGGAGGGTTGCCTTCTCGCCTTTTCACTTTCGATGGCCTTTTATGAGGCCTGAGCATGGCTCCAAGAAGGCCTAAGAGAATCCCAAGAGGGATGGCGCCCCACGAAAGCCCCAAGAGAGGCAAGTTCCAGGGCTCCAGAAGGGGCAATGCCCTCCCCCCTTCCTCCCTTCTTCGAACGATACCCTCCTAGATGGTTCCGAGAGAGCAACAAAATACCTCCAAGAGTGCCCCAAGAGGCCCCTAAGAGGCGCCCAGGAGGCCCTAAGAGGCCCACAGATGCCCACAAGAAGCTTCCAAGAGACCCCCAAGAGGGCCCAATAGGCTCCGCCGAGAGACAAAAAACGCTCCAAGAAGACCCCAGGACCGCAAAGGGGCCCAGGACGGCCTAAGTGGACTCCAGGGGGTCTCAACAACAGACATCCAAAGAGACTCCGAGAGGCTCCCAAGAGGCATCTGGCCGTTCTGCTCGCCTTCCTCTTCCTCCTCCTTCTCCTCCTCCTCCTCCTCCTCCTCCTCCTTATCCTCATCCTCATCATCAACATCATCATCAGCATCATCATACCCTCCTCCGCCTCCTCCTTCTCGTCCGCCTGTGTTCCCCTCCTCTGCATATTCCTCGACGCAGCCTGGCGAACAGGTTGCCCTGAGCGCCCTAACCTGGATGGGGCA